TGCCTAATCTATAAGATCTTACGTGGAAGTCACACCATCGACTACACCAACTCACTGTATCGTATCAATTACCAATACATGATGTAGAACAAGGTTAGGCTAGAGAAAGAACAATATATTTAATATGAATAGAAGATATAAGGTAACATTCAGAGGGACCACGCCTGTATGGCCGAGCCATGCCATTCAATCAACTCCAATTCATTCAATTCACTGTTCGCGCCTTCTCCATTGTTAGGTATTTCTCCGCGTTAAATATTGAATATCTATTTTCTGAGTAGTCTCGTGTTCACAGCTTTGTGGATTGTGTGGCTATTGTCCAATGCCACTTTAGTATAATATAATATATTTTAAAAAAATCAATTTTTATATGCTTATATTTATATATTGTCATTTGGCTAATATGTATATTATAAAAATTTTTTAAAAAAAAACATTTCGTAAAAATCGCTTTCACGTTATTTATACTTTTTCGCCGATTTTGTGTCTTAATGCGCGTATGAGTTTATTTCGACATGCACTTATATATTCTTTTTGTCTTTTCCAGTCGTCCTGGAAAAGACGATAAAAAGAACGATGAGGTTTACGAGGAATCAAAATTTTCATTGTACATTTTTCTCACTATATTGTACATCATGGTCCCTTTATAGTTAGGAAAGACGACCAGACGCTGCTACACCTAGAAAGCTATCAGAAGAGTGTTTACCAACGACAGAACTCGTTGGGTTTAAACTTCTGGCTGGCCACGTCTTAGGGTCATCACTACGCCACTAGGGGGAGGGAGTGATCTGTAGTGGTAAATAAATCCCCAAAATAAATAGCCCTGTAAGTTTTCGACATGGGATGCTGACCACATGTTTTAATGGACTCATCTAGCTGAAGGCGCTCGGTCATGCATCCGCACCAGATCATGTGTGGTAACGCCGTGCTCAACATATACTGCAATCGCTAGCCAGACTAGATCAGACAATTCCGACATATTGGTTATCGTCAAATACACTCTTCCGATCTCCTCGATTCTGTCTTTTGATTTCTCTTGATGGGTACGCGTTATAATAGGTGTTACTGGTAAAAGCGTTGTCAAACACTGAATACCTGTGCCATCTTCAAGCTTATACAAAATTTGAATGAATCTTAGGTGTCTGTCATCATTTGTTGTGTATCTAGCTTCGTGCCTGTCTGTTAGGTTATACAAAATACTGATAAGGAATGAAAGGACTATATGGTACCATTTTTATGCTAAGTTTTACATTGTATAAAATTAGTTTGATACTCTGTTTTTACTCAATGAAAGGGAAGAATTATAATTTATATTCAGTCAGTCAGACCATATTTACCTGAAGCGAAAATGTCTTCGGGTAAACGTAGACTAGTTTCATATGCCAACTCTGCTGGACGACATCCCACATCCTGTTTAGTTGTACTTTAACCGAACATGAGTAGAGGAAGCTTAATGGCTCAATCGTGTTTGACGGTGATAATTATAAGAGATACCTTTATCTGCCTATGCAGGCATTCATTCCAATTAGGGCTTTGGCTGCAGACTCGGCTGAGGTGTCTCTCGTCGCCACCACTACGGGCCATCGCTTAAATCTATCGACGTACGTAAAAATATTGGTGTTTCCATTCAAAATCGGCAGTGGTCCTACATTTTAGATGTGTATATGCTCGAATCTAATGCCTGTATGGGAAAGAACGCATTGTGGAGCTTGCATGAAGATGTGCTCCGACATTTTGGCACTTCATGCATGCTTGTGTCCAATTATGCACATCGCGATTAGCGTTTGTCCACACGAAGCATTCGCTGATTAGCTTCACCGTGGCTTTTATTCCAGGATACGATATGCTGTGCATATTTTCAGATACCTTCTGTCGCAGTGGTTTCAGTATGAATGGTCGCGGTTGGCCTGCTGGTGTATCACATATTGCTTTTGCGCTATCGAGATGAACATCTTCGAATGTTAATGATGTCATGTCATCGGATCTTATGTTGCCCAGTTCACCATCCGTCTCTCGCAACTTCGCTAGACTGTGATAATCGCTCCCAATAGGCGTAAGCGCATTTATCGTTGTTCTTGATAGTGCGTTTTCTTGACCTTTATTATATCGTATGTCAAATAAGAACTGAGAAATAAATTGTACCTGTCGGATTTCCTTCCGAAAATAATCATCTTGCTGTGCGATTAGTGTTTTCGTAGGCGGTTTGTGGTGTGTACATAGTAAAATTTATACTTTCTACCATATTTCAAAAATGCCTTATTGTTAAGTGAACTGTTGGTAATTTTCTTCCAAAATTACTATACCTTGTTTGCATAGGATTCAATTTCTTCGAAAAAACGTAGGCCGTTTCCACGCGCCATTTTTTAACTGTTGCCAAACGGCTTCTACCGCCACATTCGATGCATTGGTCATGATGACTAATTAAATCGCACTCTTTCGTCCAGCTAGCGTCGTTTTTTGTCCGGTGCCTTCTCGAAGTTCTCGAATGCTTGTGTCACCTCTGTTAATAAATGGAATGTCTGGCCATGTCCCCGTAATGCGTCAGTTAAGGGTTGCAGTATTGTTGCATATTGAATTCTCGAATTTCAACAGGGTGTTAAAAATGCCGTATAGCAGAATACGTGGCTAGGGTTCCCCTGACGAATGTGATTTACCTCGACTCAATATCTTTTAACCGTTTAAAGAAAAATACCAGAGGTTGTCTTAAGATTCTTCCGATTACAGAGACGGATGCTTGTATTGTGATATTCATGGATGCTTTGGTGTCCTTGCGTGCGAGCATGATTGGTTTTGTGGTAAGTTCTTTAACTGTGGAGAACACTTCCTTACGTTGTCGTCAGATTTGATGGGTCTTTCATTTCCACGAAGTCGGACGGTTAGAGGTCCCGTGGGAGACTTGCTATACGGAATGAACCATTGACATAAACTTATCAGGCCACTAGATGTACGTGGTTGCATGACTAGGGTTGGTTTTGGGTAATCCAGAATGGCCGCCACTTTGCTTTTCGGAGAGCTGATGACTTGAGCATCAATAGGGTGTCCACGAAAATTTAGGGAGTTGGTTCTTATTTGATATTTCTGAACGTTCAGAGTAATGTCGTGTTTTTGCAGCCATTCGGAAACAAGCAGCCATGGGAATTTCGTTATACGCTTTCTGTCTAATAACCTCCGTTTGCCCATGTCGAAGAGTAGGTTATGATGTTGTAGCAGGCCTATATCAATCATCGGCATAGAAACATCTGCAACAACGAAGATCCAGTTGATGAGTTTGCGTAAACCTAGGTGGTATTATCAACTGCCTGAAGTCAGCCTTACGATTAAAAGTTGCCTCTTGCCATTTTTCTACCTGACTCTTGGTTAAAGTCCGTAGTATAATAGCACTCTGAATGAGGAAAATTTTCCGAGAATTTGATCTTGAATAATACTGAAAATACTAATTTCGAGCACTGATCGGAGATATTGGAAATCGTACAAGTGAAAAGTACATAAGAGAAATTGTTTTGGCCTTCACACTCTGTCCTATCAACGGCACGGAGAAACACAACCGTTACAAGTTCGCTGAATCACAGCGTCCAAACACAAAACAAACCGTTGGTAAATAATAAAATGACGTTGGCCTGTATTTAACAGTATATCCGATCGTAAGCTGAAGTTTACAAGAGTTGTATAACCAATCCTGTTAGCAAGAAACAAGGAGGAGATAACAGTAGAGGGAAAAAAGGAAGAAGAACAGGAAATGGAATAGTTGGTGACAAAGAGAAAAGTATGGGTGAGATCATAATTTATAGATGATTCCTGATTAACATTAGATTGTTCAGTTTACTTGGATCAAAATGAAGCTATAAAGTAGCATGAAAAATTGGGTTTAGGAGTTAAAGTTAGAAGTTATGCTTAGGAATACTGGCGAGGTTCTTCATCACTAACCAGTATAATTCCTAATGCGCGAACGCTATTCAGATATATGGATAAAGGAAGTCATAGTTCTCCCCCATGAAAGTTATTATTCAGTCTTCACTTAAAGGTTTCTGTTATTGAAAATCTTAATAATCCACAGAGCACTAATTCGTAACTTGAAAAAGGAAAATTACTCTCAAGCAGTTGTCTATTTGACAGACATCACCTCAGAGACCACTTCTTAGTTAGGTTTAGCAAATCTGTGGGATTATTTTGTTATGATGACCTAGGTCAGTAAACACACTATGAGCTGTGATTGATAGCCTCTAGGTTCTACCTTCCTCAGCTGCCGAATCTAATGATGACTTTTTTATTCTTAAGCCTAAGCTTCCTTACATTCTGTATCTTTAAATTTTTTTCAACGGATTTTGTGGGTAAACGACATATTTTGTCTTAAATAATATGTCGTATATGAAGTTTCACCGATCTATAGTTTTACAATATATTCCGTAGGATGTCAAACAAGAATCCCGAATCTCCATGATTCGTTCAAAGGATTTGGTGTGACTGGCTGAAAAGTAGCCCCAGTGGCTGCTTTTTATTTCTGGCCTCTATAATTTATATTTTATTTGACAGACAATTTACCTCAACTGATATAGAGAACATTAGGAGAAAAGTTCTCATAACTTAGTTGTTTAAATACTCTAAATACTGGTAGCATAGTTTAACGACTGATATTTCGTGTTGTCATAAGTAAATATAGATAATATCAGTAAAATGCATTAAAATAAAAGCGTCAACATGAATTGGAATCACAAAAACAATGAACAAGCAGAATATTCTACCGGTATTGTTCATGATGAACTTTTAAGTATAACTATGTGGTTGGAAATTAATTAAAAAACGTCTCTAGATTAGTTAGTATTGTGATGAAAACATGTAGTGATTATGTAATACTCAAATTACCATCAGAAATATGATAAATGGAAACTATTATTTATTTAATCTGCAAAATATTAGTTTGTCATAGATATTAGAAAAGAAACATTGTAGAGGAATTTAGTAAAAAACCCTATTCACAACAGAGCCATCAGAAAACTTTGTTACTAGTCAGCGTTTAGAGTAAGACATACACCTTGTAACACCCAATGACTTGGATGAACTTCAGTTTTTAAATGAGCTTCAAAAACTAATCCAACTCCCATTGCATTCCGTCTTTCTGAAGTAACGTAAACTGGAGTACAAAATGTGTTTTGTAATTTTAAACGATGCGCTTCAATGGCACTAACTCGAAGAATTGGCAAGGGTTGAACTAATTGTCGTGACTTTTGACGTTTCAGACAACCTTTAGCTAAATCCCAGCTTGCACCTTCTAAATACAGTCCTTGAACAAAACATCCTTGATGTGCTCGTTCTTGTATTTCAGTAGAATCTGTATATTGAGTTACTGCTGTAAATAATGCACTTTTGTCTAATGGCCATCCATTGCGACGACATGTTGTTTGAATTAAAGCCATCAGAAACGATTCAGGAATATGTAGACCTGATAACCAAATGACACCTGGATCACCATTTTCAATCTGTGTAAAAAAGTAAGATATTGAATAATTAACATTGAAAAAATCCGCACTAACATATATAGAGTGAAATTTAGATGAAAAAAAAACAAAAAAATTTCTAAATTCACTTATCAATTAAAATTATTTTCACATCTACGTAATTTACAGTCGGTTGGTCATATAATGAAACGGGTTTACATTTTATTAGGATAATAATTCAGATACAGTTTATATTATAGCAACTATCTTACAACTGATTTCGATTATGGTTGATTTCGGTCAAGCCCGTTTATTAAATTGCTTAACAGATAATGTTATCGTAATAGTAACAATTCGTCTATTTCTTTGTATGATCACTAGAGCACATGACGGTTGACATTAAGTGACCGGCCTATATGATACCCTACCACCCATTTTAAAAAAATTGTGGGGTGTGAACGAAAAATTTAGGTATCGTTGATTGGTGGACTTGTTTTGCAAGTGTGTGCTCAAGTGATAATGAACAAACATTTTGTTACCTTTAATAATTTTGTGATTGGTCGTAAACTGTTCATCTTTGTAATCTGATTAGTTGAAATCGAAATCGCATCTGGAGCTGTGATTGGATGTCAGAATTTTCATTTTTTACATTTGAAATTTAATGATAATGAATAATTCTTTTTGTGTAATCTTAGTCTTGAAAAAAATTTAGACTTTTGAAGAAAAAGACACCAACTTAATTGCATTACCGTGCAATCCTACTGTTAGTGAATGTGTATTGGGATCAATTTTTGTTTTCCGATCAAGTATACCTTGAATTGAAGTCGTTAGTTATCTTAACACGAATAATTATATGTATCTCAGTAAAAGAAAGTTTTTGGGAAAAAGCAACTGAAAACCGGTTTGAATATTTGATAATAGTGATTACTGAATGAGGTCGGTAGTCAAATGTTGAATACTAAATTAATAAACAAATTATCACCAAAGTGTGTGCATAGGTTTTTTTGTAACACACGGTGTGTTAATGGGAAAAAGAAATCAACATATCAATAAATCATTATGATAACTTACTGGTTGCAATATTTATAATTCAGGTGAAGCAACCATAGACCATCATTTAATGAACTGACTTTGACAGTATATGAAAGTAGTAATAAATTTTCCGAAATAGACACTTAATATTTAGTAAACGATTATTTTGTAAATGGTCATTCATAATGAGAATTAGACAACGTTAGATTTCAATACGGTTAATTTGGAAATCCATTGAAACGGTTCATTATTTTCACTTGTAAATTATTTGTAGTTCTGTATTTTAAAATTAATTTTTTGGTTGTTATAAATACTAGTTTGTTTAATCAGTCATGTGTGAATATTGTTAACCGCCGTAATATGAAACCTGAATTATCTAGACATTATGAATGTAACCATTTTTGACAAGCATTTGAAATATCAGTTTCATGAAGTGTAAATGAACAAGCCTACGTCGTCTGACTGACTCAACAAATATCTATCGACTTTAAACGTATAAATATGAATAAGGTCAACTGTATCAATGAACATTTACAATGTTATTATTACCTATTTTCCTTATGTTCATTATTATTATTATTATTGTCAATTGACAAGATTCAATTCTCATACCATGTATTTAATTGACACAACATTTTTTGAATTTTCAATTTTCCTATAATGCTTAGTCACTTATTGTGACTGAACACTTTACTGCAAATAATCCAGACCTTTATTGAATGACCTTTCTAATTTGAAAATATTACAATTTCTAAGTATGTATATAAATATATATATCGTTACAGATGTAAACGTTAACCATTGTTAACACATTACATTGTCAAATTCATTAATGCCATGCCTTATTACGATCAGACGTACTTCTTACGTACGCATAGTTCTGGTACTTTTAATATAAAACAAGAATATGAAATCCTTGTTTTTTGTATTCATGAAACAGCTAATATTCGCATTGCTTTTTACACATACTATATGACCTTTTATCACATGAATCATTTCAATGATGATGGTTTCAACTTGTTTTCTAATGTCATTATTTTATTCATAAAAAAGTTAATTTTCTTCATTATGTTTACTTCTCTATGAGCTTGAATCACATTCATCTTCGTAATGATAATCACTAATAAATGTTCTCATAAAATTATTGACCTAATGAGCAAATTAGAATTTTCACTATATTGCAATATTCCTATTAAAATTGACTAAAATGTACTATTATTAGATAGTTTACAAAAGTGTTACTAAAACATGAACAGTAATCACATTATTTTAAATAAAAAAATTACTAGATTAGTCTTCATTAGATGACAAAATCTTAACCTTCATATCTAATAAACGTTAGAAACAAGTTTACGAATACATGAGCGTTAATCGCTTTTCCATTATTAATCTCTAAGGGATATCTAAATTCATGAGACATTAATAAGTGCTTAATCACTTGACCTTTGCCGCGGAAAAGTAGTGGATAAAAAATAATGGAAATCAAATTGTGGGTGGCCCTGAAAAGGGCCTTTACTCGTCCTCGCGGTCGGACGTCGTCACTATTAGTTTGTAATGGCGCCACAGATAGGACAGTGCACTGCTCGTACGTTCGGCGATGGGTCGTAGGCACAGAAGGTATGAAACATCGCTTCACATCTACAGAAAACCAAACCAACCGCATCACCGGTTTCACATGGAGGTTACGCAAGATTACAGATGTCGCAGAGTCGATTCTCGTCATCCTCTTCTTCATTTTCGATGTCCCGTTCAGTTAATTCTTCGGAGTTAATAGAAATTACTTCCTCCTCATCGTTACTGAGCGTTTCATCCAAATCAACAGTTCCTCGTTGCATGAACGGCACTGCTACGTTAGTCGAGGTTCTTGAAAGGGTGTACGAATGCTGTTCTCCATGCAAGTTTACTGGTGTTCTTGGTAGTCTACCGTGAACTATGAAGTCATGAAGTGAACTGCATCACTATTACTGTGTGTGCAGTAAGCCAATATATGACGGCATGGTAATCCGTTTTCAATGAAGAATGGACACGAGCACCGGCTAGTATCGACGTGTACGTAGTACGTCCCCGTGGCGTCCATAGCGGTGAATAAATCTTCCGTCAATGCAGACTGCGTTATAGGAATGCGAAGGTGTCGCTTCAGTAGTTGACAGGCAACTGGTGTCAGTCGTTCCTGAAGTCGACGTACTTCCGGCTCCTCACCAATATCGGCTTTCCCCCGACAATCCATTGAATATTTATGTAATCTTGCTTCCATCCAATATCCAGTACGAAGCAGCACATTGAAAATGGATCTGAGAACCGGTGTTTTTCGATTAAGGTGATACATCTTCAAGACTCGGTGACTGGTCTCGACGAAGTTAGTATTGCTCAGTTCAAAGAGAGTGGATGGCGGTCGAAAAGCAGTGGACCATTTGTGTTTCCGTGGTAGAAGGTGGTCTCTGACGTATCTGCCAAACGTTCCGTCCGACATTTCGATTAACGAAAGTACGTTGTTAAAACTACAAAATCATGTTATGTAGATTTTGATTTACCTTTCAACCGTTCGAGTGAACATGAGGCGAAAGAACAGTTGTACAATTTCTGATCGCACCCTCTACAATAACGGTTACTGGGTTAATGTTAATGAACGAAACACTTACCCTCTTTATCACATTCCGAACAAGGTGTACGCGACACAGAATATGGTGTGCATCCGGATACACCTGCGTAATAGCAGCAGCAATTGCAGGTGAATCATCGGTCACAATGCCTACCAGTTGTCGACTGTTGGTACACCGTTGGAAAAAATGCAGGAAGGCAGAAATTAATGTTGACGTTTCGCGACTTAAAAAGGCAATGCACATGGGTATTGCTTTAAAATTCATATCCAGGGCAACGACTTGATATAAATGGACGTTCTCGTTATTCGTTTTGTACGTCCCGTCAAAACCAATTACGTCACAAAAGTGACCGGCCAAATTCACTTGTTCAGCAGTCATGAAGAAGAAATACGATAGACAGTTCTCATCGTCCAATTCGTATTCGCAAAGCCCACCCAAGGATGTTATGTGAGCTTTCAATTTCCCGTAATCACCTATAGTGTACATTATAAATTGGCAAATTCCGTACCAGGAAGGTTCGCGTGTGAGAACACTTTGTACCGCATATTGCAGACATCTTGAGCGGTCAGACATTTGCCATAAGATTGGTAAGCAAAATTCTTTATGTGGAATGCAGCGGTACCGGAAATCAGCAGCGGTCTCACAGTTTCAAACTCCCCATCCGTTAACCTGCGCACCCATGAATTACCCTGGTACCTCAGGGAATTGCACTCGTGATTGTGATGTACATTCCCACGTACAACAGTCCAATAGCCGTCTATAATCTTACAAAACATAAATGCTGGACATTGGGTGTTCATAGAAGCCCTTCGTTCAAAAAATTATAAAACAATTTACCAAATTACCTCCTCCGTCTAATACGTTGTGACGAACCGCTAGATCTTATACGCCCATTTCGCCAACACACAAATTTAATGTAGGATTTTTGATCTCTGCCAATATGCGAATCTCTCACTACATAATGACTGTAAGTCGATCTTTCAAAATTTGTGATAGTGGTCTTTAACGCTTCAACCGATGGAAACGCAACCAGAAACAAGGTAGTCAAAAAGACTTCCTCCATTTCCGTTACGTGAGAAACACCAGCGCTTGTACTCGGCACGTTACTCTGCTCCATAATGACGATTGAGATTGTGCTTCGTCGACAAGTACTGATAATTTATAACAATTTTCAAGACATAACTAACCAATTAAATCTAATTTTTGAAACTAGCCATTTCATTGGACGAAACACGGGATGAAAAATATTGTAATTTTGGGGTGGAAAATTTTTTTCAAAAAAAAATGGCCGGTCGGACAATATTATTCGCACATGACACAGCCTAGCTGAAATGTTGGGCTAACATCAATTGCACGGCCATTTTTTTGTTTTTTTTTCGAGTGAAATTTTTTTCATCCCTTTTGAAAAAA